TTCCTGCTCTGCATTTCCACCTGATGAGAAAGTACAGAGCAGAACACTTTAGCAAGGGCAGACTGAAAAAGGAAGGGGAAAGAAGGACCTTGGCATTAAATAATAATAATGAAAAAAAAATCTATTACTTCAGACCGCAGTGAATCAGCAGAACCACCTAACTATTCAAAATATTTACCCAGACAGTTAACGCCACTGAAAGCGTTTTTCCTTTGAATCCTAAGCAGTTCCACCGGGAATAAATTAGTCACAAGTTGAACTGAAACATTCAGTATAAGCCAAAGACGGTCCTACATCTGGACCCAAGAAGTTACACTGCAAATGGAGATGGATGATGTGACTGGACAAGAGGCTGGACTGGTTTCTTTGCAGCATGTCTTTCAGTAAAAGAAGCTCTAAATAATTCAGAAATCTTCCAAGAGTACAAAGTGCCTCTCTGCCTGCACTTTGCATGCATGCTTTCACAAGATTTTTAAAATAGCCCTTTGGATAGTTTGGGTGATTCCTCTGCTCTGTGGCGCTTCAATGAAAGAAACAGGTGGGCGTCTGATTTGGTTTCAAAACTGCTGCATTATTAAAAATAGTTATAGATCCTATTACAAATCTTTCAATAGTCCTCGCTGACGCTCTATTAGAAAGCCAAGGATGGGGGCGTGGGGTTTGAGGAAAAAGGAACTCCTAAGCATGCCAGAGCATAAAAATATCCCTTTCCTGACCAGGGTTTTTATAAAGGAGTTGAAATCTCTGTTGACTCCGATAATATTACAAGCAAACAATAAAACAGGGTATGACTGAAGCTTCAGTCAGGACTCAAACAGGACAGGATAGGCTCAAGCAGGCCATCATCTTAACTTAGTGCAAAGAGGTGAGGGTGGCCATCCTCGATACCCCGAACAATACAGAACCATGAGGCTTTTATCCCTGCCCATTTATGTTCAAGATTCATCAATCCCCTGTAGGTTCCCCATGCGAGCACCTAGCTGTGCACCTAGCCAGGGCCCCTTATCTAGGGTTCAGGGTTTCCATCAAGCCACAAACCTGCAGCTCCCTGAAGTTCCCCATAAGTAACTACTTCCCTTCCTCTCTGCAACGTGCCCCTGTAGTTTTCCCACCATACAGCTAAGAGTCAATGTGTACAAGCAAGAAAAGACTATGCTGGGTTCAAATGCTAATTCAAAGAAAGAGGTGAACTCAGCTATCCTGAACTACTCTCCATTTATGTATTTGATACCTCTCCACTCCTGATAGCCGTGCGGGGATCGAGGCAGAAGAAACTGCTTTGGGACCCAGGACAGGATCACACGATGTGGAGACAATTAGGTGCAAAACTAAACCAGGTGGCCATTTGCATGCGTCAGCGGTGTGTGAAAGGAAAGCACCATGTGCATGTTCAGGTTAAGCAGGTTCCATGTTGCGCGACAGGCGCGTCACATGTGGGATACAAGAATCTAGAAAAGACACGATATTTTAGCTCTGCTTAATGAGCTGGATCTAAGCAACAGGTTAAAAATGTTGTGTGTACAACCCAAAATTCCTTCATTCTGTTCATAGCTCGTCTAGTTCTAGGTGGCTGTACATGCTATGCTTGACTGCTACACTCTGGGTTGGTCTACATGTGCATTTACTGCGCAGTAAATTACTGCACAGTAACTGAGTTTAGACCAGCGTCTATACGTACAGGTGTTAAAGTGCTGGAATGCTGCACGTGGATTGATTTGGAACTAAAGCTAGTCCCAAGTCAGTCCAGACACACTGAGCAGTAAGGCACCTATATGTGTGTTACTGCACAGTAACTAATCAGGCATAAATTTTATAACTGCATGATACAGGTATTAAATTTATGATCAAGTCGGCATAAGCTGCTATATTTATGGCACAGTACAGGTGTGCGTGTGTAGATGTCGCCTGTATTGCACAGTAATTTTCACTTACTGCGCAGTAAATGTGCACGTGTAGACGTGCCCTCTCAGCAGCTTGCCCAAACCACTGGAAAGCCTATTTGTCTGGGATCTATAAGGAAGCAGGCAGGACTGGGGGGTTTCAATTGGTTTGCCCCCTGCCACCATCCTCTGCCCTTTCAAACAAGCCATACTCATGATTTAACCTTAGAGAGGCTTTGTCCATTTGAAGTTTAGGGAGAAAAGAATGCCTCGATATTTGAGAAGCGATGAGAGTGTGGCGCAAGTATTGATTTGAGACTGGAGGAGCTTGCCATCAGGAACAAACAGAACTAAACCTACTGCATGGAGAAAGTTTAGCTAAGGATTGAGGCCAGTACGAGGAGTCCAGATGAAATGTGGATGGAGCGTGTGTATAAATGTTTGCAGGATCAGGATGTTCATTAAACAGGTGTCAGCCTCAAGCAATAGAAGACCAGAACCAGAGGGTATTTTAACAGCCAAGTACAAATTGTCTGCTGTCTTCCGTAGATTTTTTGTTGTTGTTGTGTAGGTATATTTCAGACAGAGAAAGCAAACTCGTTTTTCTCAATAAAGATGTTCTGGCTCCAATACTTTGAAATAAGAAGTTCAAAGGAAGAACAGTAGTCATCGACTCTTCCAAGAGTACCAAACAATGGTACACAAATTTGATCTTTAGGCTTCTATTAGCGAGGATCGCTCTCTTCATACAAAAACATCAGCTCATCCCTAATCAATTTTAGCATTTTCACAAATCAGACTGATTTTCCCCACACGCTCGTTAGTCATTTATTTCTCAGTTGACCTTTGTTTTCCTGGATACAAACAAATCTTGCTGCAGAGATACAAACACATGCAGTCACAAAATGGCAAGGGAGCTCATAATGGTGAATGAGATGTCACTCACCGCCATCATCTATTCAATCGTGCCACTAATTTCCAGATATTACAGTGGAGCTTACTAATGCCATCACACTTAAGGCAGTATTAGCATCTTCCAGGACTTCCAAAGTAATAGGGGAACTACCATTCGGCCTGCAACAGTTTGTCAGGCTTTGTATGACGAGCACTCCTGAAATTTAGTTGCTGGGAACAAATAATGCCCAGCCAACTTGAAAACCTAGGATGACGCTTGATAAACGAAGCTAAGTCTGAGGGCCAAATTGTGGCGTTCGAGTACCATAGACAGAGAGCAAGCCTTTTCCTCAAAGCAGCCTATATTCTACGAGAATAACAGGCCCACTTTTTTATTGCACTTTTGGATCTCAGCTCCGAGACGTCATATTTCAACTGGCCTCTGGTTGGAATCCAGCGCAGAGCGGTGGCGACCAGAACTCTGACATCTGTTCAGTGGTCAACGTGAAACTATTTGGTGGTTTCATGCTGATTCCTAGGAGGTAGCTACTAGCAACCAAAACTGGGGACCTCTTTAGAGTTTCAGCACACCACACAATTTGCACAGCATTTTGAATAACAGGACCAGAAAACACCACTTAGGCAATAATTCCTAACCCTTAAGTACCGGGACAGCAGCTAGCCTATTTTCTTCTTCTCAGAAGTGATCCTTGGAGGTCCGGATGAAGCACCGTACAACTGAGAAGGAGGGCACTGCCACGGAGAGGGGACTTCAGCTGATATCCTGAATCTTGGACAACGTGTGGTATTGTGGTTTAACTACATATGCAGGAAGTGGTAAAAAAAATAAAATATATATATATATATATATATATATATTGAAAAGCCATGATCCAACAAAAGCACTGTGTCTGGGTTTGAAAGTCTTTCCCAACTGCTATTTGAAACTTAAGGCCCCGATCCTGCCACCCGAGACACAGAGGTGGACTCTTGCCTCTGCATGGAGCTCTGCTTTCAATGGGCTTTACGCAGGCCCACACCTGCCTGTGCAAGCTGTAAATGTAAGGAAAAGGCTCTCTCTAGGGTTTCAAGCCATTTCCCTTGTGTATCTGACAGCACACCGTGTCTAGCTGGTTTCAGAGCAAGCAGAGGACGTAGCATTGAAAAAAAAAAAAAAAAATATTGACCAATATTTAAAAAAACCCAAAAAACAAAAAACCAACCCGCAAATTGGCAGGGAGATCTGAGGGCAGGCCAACTGCCAGACAGGAATGTTAACCCTTTTTTTTAAAGAAAGAAAGGATTGGATTTCAAGCAGCTGGTATCCCTTTAACTCTGAGAAACTGTTACGTGCACACCACAGTGAGTCTCCACGACTATTTTAGTTGCATGTAAAGACTGTGCAAACGCGTCATGCTGCTTCAGTTGGAAATAAGCTTGCTTCTCGTTATGCAAGTGAATAGGAACATCCAACCAAACAGTGATTGGTCTAAACGCTTCATTAAGTTCACTATGTGGTCTGGACATTGCTTCAAACTCAAACTGGCAAGAGGAAGAGAACGTTGCATTGGTGTTAATTATATCCCAGCAAAAGAGCGTTGATATTGCAGACCCAAAACAATCAGACAAACTCTCTGGTGTTATTTCCAAGCAGCGCAATATTCACATCACACTGGCTCTGCCTGGAGTCTGATGCCGTCAGGGACATGAACTACCTGGATCCCATGAAGTGCTGCCCCACTGCATTGTCATACTTGAGTGAGTTTGGGGAGAACAATACTCTATTTTCCTAACTGATGGCTTCACAATCAATACTTATATTTATTGGCTCTGAGCAAGTCACGTTTCACATGGATCTTACCTTTCTGATTCTGTTTCCTGGCCATCCCAGCGTGTTTGTTTTTTTATGTCCAGTTAAAAAGCAGCAGTCCTTGCCCTTGAATAATGCGGCTGGCAGCTGCAATTCACACGTTGTCTTGTATCAAAGCAGGAAGTGGCAAATATCTGTTTTGGGATGGTAAAATCCCAGCTGTGAGGGCAAATGGGGTCTAGGAGTTGTCAGAAATTCTGCTGACAAGACAGCAAAGCACTATCGCTCTTTCCTCTCAAAAGCAACTTCTTGTCAGGAAGCCTGACTGCAGCAGTTTGGACTGTCCTTTCAACACGATCTGAAAGGAAAAAGAAAAGAAAAGAAAATGGAAATGAGTTGAAAAACTCCTGCTGTATTAGCCATGTGGGTATACAGGAACTCACCCAGGTCACCAAACTCTTTCCTCTCTTGTGCTTTGGAAAAATAAAATTTGTGTTTCTTTAAAAAGGCACTGAAAAACAATCAATCAGTCAGGGATTGGGTTTCCCCCAACGCAGATTCTCCATTTTAGTTCTTGTACTCCAAGGAAAGCAGGGGCTGTTCTGTCTCAGCTTTTCATAGGTATTTTTTAAGCTGACCTCCACATACATGTGACGTTCCTGCACTAATTAGCGGAAGCACTGTAACAACATACATTCGGAGAGCAAATTAAAAATCCTATGTACAGCTGAGAAAGAAAATGCCTGCTGTTTTTGCCGTGTCAGGCAGAACAACAGGTGAAACCAAGAACAGGATGCAAAATAAGAGAACAATAGTGACCTCTCTGCTCGAGAAAAATAGCCAGTGGAGCTGTGCCAAACCAGCCTTCTCTGTAAAGCATTAAAGCCACGTTCAGAATAAAATGTAGGACCATGGACACAGTTATTTCAATATATAGATTGGGTGTTTTTTTACAAAAAAATATTGATTCCTAACCAACAAAACACAACGGTATGAACGGTCTGAAGGGCACTTGG